CTTGCGTCTGATGAAGTGGGCATTCACCCACGAAAGCTTATGCTCCAATACTTCTGTTAGTCTTAAAGGTGCCACAGGACCCTCTGTTGCTTTTTAGTAATCCAGCTGAGGCCTCAACATGTGAGTAGAGTGGGACAATTACCTTCTGTGTCTTAATACAACATTCTTGTTAATGCACCACAGAGTATTAGCCTTTTTCACAACTGCATCACATTACTGACTTAGCCAATGTGTGATCCACTATAACCCCCAGATCTTTTTCAAAAGTACCTAGCCTGTTGTTCCCCATTTTTGTAGTTGTTCATTTGATTTTTTTTTTCTTCCCAAGTGTACATTTTACACTTGTCTTTATTGAAGTTAATCTTGTTGGTTTCAGACTAATGTTCCAATTTGCCAAGATCATTTTGAATTCTAATTCTCGCCTCCAAAGTGCTTTCAATCCCTCACAAGTTGGTATCATTTGCAAAATTTTTATAAGCATACTCTCCACTCCATTCTCCAAATCATTAATGAAAATAATGACTAGTACCAGACCCAGGACAGACCTCTACAAGATCCTACTAGATATGTTCCCGCAGTTTGATAGCAAATGATTGATAACTACTCTTGGAGTAATTTTTTAACCAGTTGTGTACCCACCTTATGGGAGTCATCTAGACCTCACTTCCTTAGTTTGCTTGTGAGAATGTCATGTGGGACTTATTTAAAAGCCTTATTAAAATCAAGATGTATCCTATCTGCAACTTGCCCCCATCCATTAGGCCAGTAACCCTGTCAAAGAAGCATATTAGGTTGGTTTGGCATGATTTGTTCTTGACAAATCCAGGCTGGCTATAACTTATAACCCTATTATCCTCTGTGTGCATAGAAATTGCTTAATAATTAGTTCCAGTATCTTTCCAGGTATTGAAGTTATGCTGACTGGCCTAAAATTACCTAGGTCCTTTTTGTTCCCCTTTGTCCCCTATGGGACCTCACCCGTTGTCTGCGAGTCCTTAAAGATAATCGCTAGCGGTTCTGAGATTTCTTTGGCTAGTTCTCTGAGTAACCTAGCGTGATTTCCTTCAGGCCTTGAATACATCTAACTTATCTAAATATTCTTTAACCCATTCTTTCCTTATTTTAGCTGCCTTTCTCCTCCACTTTTGTTAATATTGTGTTAAGTATCTGGTCATAATTAACCTTTTAAGTGATGACTGAAGGCATTAAAATAGTCATTAAACACTTCAGCCTTCTTGATGTTGTCTGTTATTAGCTCTCATTCCCCACTAAGTAGAAGACCTACACTTTGCTTCATCTTTCTCTTGTTTCTTATGTATTTATAGAAACTCTTCTTACTGTCTTTTATGTCCCTTGCCAGGTGTAACTCATTTTGTGCCTTAGCCTTTCTGATTTTTGTCCCTATATCCTTGTGCTATTCTTTTGTTACTCCTCCTTAGCAATCTGTCGATGTTTCCACTTTTTGTATGTTTCCTTTTTGATTTTCAGGTCATTAAAGAGCTCCTGATGGAGGCATATTGGTCCTTTATTCTTCTTCTGAGCTTTTCTTCGCATCAGGATAGTTTGCTCTTCTGTCTTTAATATTGTCTTAGATAATCATGTATTTTCAGCCCATGAAAGAAAACAAAGCAAATGGACCAGTATTTCTCTATATCTCATTACCTCTTCATAAATTAACTTTTTTTTATGAATTAAGTAAAAGATAATGTTTGAAGTTCACAAACAATGTTTTTTCCTTTTGACACATTTAATTTGAGAGGGATTTTTTAATGGTATGGGAGAAGTATTTACAATAGACTTCCCTGGGGGCTTTTGAAGTAAAGTTTTAACATCCTTGAAAATGACAGTGCTTCAACTCAATTACAGTGCCATCATTAAGTGTGGTCCCTTAATACAAATTGTGAGAGTTAGACAGAAAGCGGCTCATGGTATTAATGTGGCTCTGCATAAATGCACATATGTAATACCCTGCATGATCTTACACAACTACACCATGAAGATCCCCCCCCCCCCCACACACACACACTTCAGCCGACAGTCCTGTAGATCTTAAATATTTCCGGAGAAAAGTATTTCAGTCACTGCAAAAATTTATGGTAAGTTACGGTATTATCAGGCTCTTGGCAGACGTTTGGTAGTCTCGTTCTGTAGAAAAATGATGCAGTACTTAGACTGATAATATTTGTGTAGCCAATACTTTTTTATCTTAGTAGGGTATCCTTAAACTCAAACACACAGCAAGCTTTTAATCTAAGTAGTTTGGGAGGGTGTTACTTTAGCTACTCTAGTATAAGGACTTTTTGTTGATCGTTTACAGTTTGTTTATTTTCTCCTACCTACCTACTTACTGCTGGATTGTTCAGAATTAATGTAAATTGGGATGAGTTAAATATCAGGGACACTGAAATTGAGCAATAGCTTAATAGGCCTTAAAGTGAAAACCCACCTCATTTGGGAAGATTGTATGTTTCCTAAGCTGATCTGGATATTTTGTAGTAAGGTGAACCTAACATGCAAGAGGTTTGGTTTCGCTAATGTTCTGATATAAATTGTGCAAGTAAATTTGTGAGACAGATTTACGTACTTTCATCTCTTAAAAATGGGACCAAACTACATAGACTTAACATATTTCTTTAAAAAAAAAAAAAAAAAATTGTAAACTTGGTCACCTTTGGAAATTTTAACAAATGTTGGTGTA